AAAATAAAAATAAAATATATTATTTTAATAATAAATAAATAAAATAAATAATAAATCACATTGCTTGTCAGTATTGGTGAGATATCAATCAGATATTTCTCAGTAACACGGACCAATAACTTCATCATTACAATGTGCATTAAATCAGTGTTAACTCTGCGTTAAGTATGCATTAACACAATGCTAACTCTTGCGTTAACTCAGTGTTAACTCACTTTATCCAGTAGTAGTATTGTAGAGAAGTTAGGTGTCTCCAGAATGTGAAGTGTTTGTATGAATTTGGCACAATATATTGCATCAAGAGTAGTGAACCGACACCTGGGGAATATACACAGCTGCAACAAGCGATTCAATGTACGACTTTTAAGAACACCTGGTAAGGGAATCAGTGGGGAATCAGAATCAAATCAAATGAAATCAGAATCAATGATTCAGTATTGGTATGAGTATCAGATCAATATGGATCAGTAACACGGACCAATAATATCATCACAATCATCAATTTATTATTATTATTATTATTATTATTATTATTATTATTATTATTATTATTATTATTAACTAACTAACGTGGATTGATAAAAGAGTCCTTTTGGTTCCTCAAGTAGCTGATGATCAGCTGATGGTTGTCCTCTTGTCTCTTCTTCTCTTCCATCAGTTTATCAATGAGAGCCTGGGACCGCTCCTGCTCCTTCTTCTTCTTACTGGCCGGCTAGGGAGAGGGGAAAGGGGAGGAGCTAACTTATGGTACATGTACGTATTACATGTATCAGTACATGATGTGTCACAATCAGTTTATTATTATAATTAATATTTTCATTAGAATCAATCGAAAGATGGTGATAATTATTCATCATCTGTGACACACTGGGTGGAGCCAGTTATTAATATTGTGGGAGGAGCTAGTTATTAACTAATAGTTATTACCATTTCTTGATTGTTCTCCAGTGTTTGTATAACGTCTTTAGCTTTGTTAATCTCATCATTGTACCGCTCCTTGGGAACATGAAGATCATATAAGGACAGGGACCAGAAAGCAACATAGAACGAACAACTAAAATAAATAAATAAATAAACAAACAAACAAATAAATAAATAAATAAATAAATAAATAAATGAATATTAATAAACACATACTTAATGTCTTCCCAGACTTTGCTCGGTTGAAGTGGTCTGACTGATTCTATAATTGGACCAAAGACTTCCTCACACGATGTAATGAAGTGTTTCTAAAAATAGATATTCGAATCTAAAAATAGAACAATATTAATTCTTTCTCCTCACCTCCTGTCTATTCATTATTGATTTTTTGGTTTCGTTTGTGACATTTTTAAAGGATTTCTCTAACTCGGCAAACTTAACCTAAAAATAGAACAATGACATCATAATTACATCATAAAATAATAATAGAAATAATTAATTATAATAATCAGTGGATCAGACAGTACGGAGACTTAAAATTTATCAAAAATAATAAGAATTGTTATAAAAAACATCATCATATCCACCACCCACTCACTCCTCGAATCCCAACACATTTATAATCACACCCCTCTAAAGCCCCCCATTCCCTTACTCCAATGCTTGAGAATATCTTTGGTCTATAAAGGAAGAACGCTACGTCCCCCGTCATCCTGTACTCCTGTATCAGGGTATCTAGTGAAGGGACTCTCTTAGAGTACTCATCAGGACTTAAATGAGACGAGAGGAAACCACCAAACTGTACCAGGGTATCCATACACTAAAAGATTTAATAATAATAATAATTTATACATACATGTATATATACAGAATACAAAATAGATGTTATGTATCATGTGCTATTGTAGTATACTTCAGAAATAATAATAAATATTTTCATATTTTACTCATCAATCGAAAGATGGTGATTAACTGTTCATCATTAGTATACCACATTGGAACAACTTTTAAAATTCATTAAAAAATCCAAATTTGATCAAAATCAGTTCAAACTTTCTACACAACATAAGTACATGTATATGCATCAGAAAATGTAATAAAAATGAAGAATTCTCTACTTTTCATTTTTGGTGAAATTTGGTCAAAATCCCTGTACTATATAGTACAGGGACTTTTGTCCGATTTTAGAGCAACTTTAAAAAATCATAAAAAATCCAATTTTGATCGGAATCAGCTCAAACTTTCTACACAACATAAGTACATGTATATGCATCAGAAAATGTAATAAAATTTGGAAATTTTCTACTTGTCAATTTTGGTAAATTTTGACAAAATCCCTGTACTATAGTACAGGGACTTTTGTCCGATTTTGGAGCAACTTAAAAAAATCATAAAAAATCCAAACTTGATCGGAATCAGCTCAACTTTCTACACAACATAA